GAACTGATAAATACCGTACAAATCGCCCAATGAACCCGATGCATTTTCGACCAAGCCAGACCACCAATATCTATTTCACTTCGATAAATAGATTTAACCTTTAGTGGTTAAATCTCATTATCAAAGATGAAATAACCCTAAAGCAGGGATTACTAGTTGAATTATTGTGTCAAACAACATAATAACAATAGTACTGAGTGATTAGTATTTTATTTGGCTGAATGGGCCACGGCCGCTTCAATGCAGGAGCCGAGGCATCAATATACTGCCTTTTGTAATGGCATCCTGAGAAAATGTGAACCCTGGGTACAGATGTCCACTGACTAGTCCATTCTGAAAACATTTGTTAAAATGTTGAAAAAGAGTTCAATGAGCCTACTGGTAAGCCCAATATACGCCACGAGACTGTGCCGCAACACAGTCTGCGCCACCAGTAGGCACGTGACAAAAATGCAAATTAAAATTTATGTGCACATGTCACTAGAACCATAATAGCAAATATATGTCAATAAATGCAAGCAGTATTGCCTTAGCAATAAGCAACAATCAATCTTCAATGAGGGCAAAAACCTTGCCCAAAATATGTCAATAAATGCAAGCAGTATTGCCGTAGCAATAAGCGATGACAATGCAAAAATAATGGACTAGTCACAATGCGCAGCCATATTAAATACATATGGTAGAAGCACTATGACCCCATAACTAGTCATAGCGCAGCCATGGCCCAAAGTATGACAAAAATGCAAATTATGATTTATATGAGCATGTCACTAGAACCATAATAGCAAATTCATATATGTCATTCAATAAATGCAAATAGTATTGCCTTAGCAATAAGCAACAATCAATCTTCAATGAGGGCAAAAACATTGCCCTAAATATGTCCATAAAAGCAAGCAGTACTATTGCTTTAGCAATAAGCGATGATAATGCAAAAACTAATGCGCTGCCATACTGAATACGCAGTATTTATATACGTTGTTGAAATTATGACCCCTTAACTAGTCATAGGGCATCCATGGCCAAAAGTATCCCTGTGATGATGAAGCAATTTAATAATTTGTTTGCAAGAGAAGCCTGTAAAAATGGTTAAAATTTTACAGGTTTTTCTGTTATCCATTCCAAGTCGAGATATCTAACACCGTGTCACTTGACAAGGTATGTAAGTTGCAAACCTAGATAACGGCGTACAAGATATATTAAAATACGGTGTGTTTTTCTTCTTACCCCTTTCTATCCCATCACTTTCATAAAGCATTATAACGCAATAAAACACAGCAGAGCAATCAAAGTGAGATCTATACATTGCCCACTCACAGCCATCAGCTAACGCAAAATAAGTGAATTTGTAGCAATTTACTATTAAAAAATATAATTTATTTAGCTAAGCATTACAGACAATAAAGCAGATTTAACCTAATATTTCGTAAATAGCAAATTAGACAGGTCATAAAAATGATCGAGCAATATGTATGTACACATACATATATATTAACATTACAAACATCCCTGGGTGGAGGACAAGTGAGCTATATCGGTCCTTCCCAATTACGTGTCCTGGGATGCCTAATCGACTGTTTACCGAATTATGATTAAAATCTTCCATGAATTCTTTTAAAAATGCCTTCAAAAAAAAAAAAAAAAAAAGAAAAGAAAAGTTAACGCTGCTTGAGAATCGGTCTTGTAAAAAACCAATTTGCCCTGGAAGTGAGTCGTTCAAACTGGAAAAGGATAGTTTTCCCCTACACTTTATGCTTAGCCTCTACTCACTGCGTGCAAGTTATATATGTAATATGTACAATAAAAAAAAAACGCCCAAATTTCAAGAATACTGAAGTTATACATTTTCCTTGCAGATGACTCATGCAATTTTCCTTTGTAGATCTATCTAAAGCTGTAACAATTAAGAAAATGGACTGAGTACGAAAATATAGATTGATTGTCTGTTTAACGTCCCTTTCAAGAATTTTTCACCCATATTGAGATGCCACCACTTGCTGGAGGAGAGCTACAAATTTTATCCTACACTTGGCACACAGAGTCATTAAGCAATGGGGGATCTTTTTTCGTGCCAGCACCTACCGTAACACAGGACCTCCATCCGAAGGACTGGTCTCCACGTCCCACAGTGGGATTAGAGCCCGCAAAGTAAGGATCGAAAATATAGGTAATTTACCACTAAACTTTAAAAAAAAAACCCAACTAAGTATCCTTAGATCTATATAACTTATGTTTAATATAGCTTTGAGCTTATAATTAAAACAGACCCACTCCTGGCTAGACTTTTTAAAAAGAATAGTTTAAAATTACTTGACGCACAAGTTTCAACAGCAAGATGATCTCGTATTCACACCTTGTATTAAATAGCATAAATGTATGAATGTTAGTTTAGATTTATTTCGTATTCTTAATGTGAAGTTTTTGATTGTATTTAGCGTTTTATAGATATATGTACTAGCATGTAAAATACAGAATACAAAAATTCTGAATGCGACATACTGTTGTTTTACAGATTATAAATAGAAAATAACCTAAGAGTTCCAAAATTCATTATTCAGCCAGTTTTAGATGAAGAAGGTGTGGTGTGCCAAAAGAAGTATAGATCTATACATGTATATATATTGACTTGTATTCCCGTCCATGAAAACATATATCCAGACTGGTATGGTTCTAGTCCCACTAATAGTTAATATCTAAACATTTGACCAGTCTATACAATACTGAAAAGCTGGACTCAAGGAGTATACTAAAACCAGCTTTCAATCTTTAATTTTTATAAAATCGCTCTCTCGGCGCCCCCTCGATTATTGCTCCATTGTAAAAAATTGTTTGCAGTCATTAAGTGGGATGCTGCCTACCCAGGGTTTACAAGGTTCGGGTCTTAGAGTAGGTCTTACTGTTAATCTTTGCCGGTAATACAGGGGTCAAGACATGTAGCCATACAAAATTTCTTCTCTTTTTTTTAATATATATATCTGTGTCGACACCCCCTTCCTATGTCTGTATTTTCTAATATGCCTTAATTATGTGTCATTGATAACAGGCCTATGGGGCGTAGCAACAGCCCCCCCCCCCACTTTTTCCCAAACCTTACTTACTTGAACTATAGGAAGTGTTAATTGGCCCCCCCCCCCACCACTATTTGTGATGTACGAAAAATGTAGTACGAAAATTGGTACAGAAAATAATTGACATTGAGAAAAAGTTAGCCTCTAACGTTTTACCGTTTTCCACTGATACTAGATAGAATGTTCTATCGTTAAAATGATATTGTCCTACGGACCCGGTTTAAGGGCTTGTACCGAGACACAGTTAGATTATTCTAACTACACTGATACATGTGTACATAAAGAACTCTTCCCGACATCTGCCTCGCCTCGCTTTAACTTTAGCTTGTTATATCGAGAGAATAACGAAATATGTATGTACATCAATAATTTTTTACACCATCCTCTCGAACTTCCTTTTTATAAGCTTACTACGTTATTTTTTATGCAACGAAAAAACCACGTGCTGCATGCTGCCCGTGCCTTTGTTTGAGACCCCTAATTTCGAATCTTACAATCTGACAGAAATTGACAGCTTATTCACCCATCGAGAAAAATAAATCGCCTTTTACCAAGTATTTGCAAGTCAATGTGTGTAAATATACTATGAAATAGCCGACATGAAATTACAAATAGCCTTCTTGTATTTTTATGACATCCTTACCTCTAAAAGTTTCAGCACAGACTGATGACGAATAAGTGCCGTGACGTCAGAGTTCCCTTGCTAGGTGCTACTAATATCCCCAAACTATACATGGAACTGATAAATACCGTACAAATCGCCCAATGAACCCGATGCATTTTCGACCAAGCCAGACCACCAATATCTATTTCACTTCGATAAATAGATTTAACCTTTAGTGGTTAAATCTCATTATTTCGAAATTTATTAATTGTTTTGACAGGTACATTAAATGTGACAACCCTTCAGTGCCTAACATAAGTTATATTAAGCTATAGTACTTTATATTATTCATATCGCTATTGGAAGGACTCCTTGCATTTATAATTTTAAAAAGAAAACAATGGCATGATCGTAGAGTACATATTTTTTAATTATTATCATATTATCATAGATGCTATAAATTACCTAGAGTAAAATTCTGGTCGATCGAGGCAATTTTGAAATTTTATTTAAAATTAATCGTATTTGGTCATCAGTAATTTTGTCTTTGTCTATGAAAGTTATGTTAGGTATCAAGAGTTCATACACAGTATATGGTTGGACAACATTATTTCCAAGATGGGTCTAAAAGTACGCATAAAGTCTTAATTTTTGCAAACATCTCTGTTGAAGAAAGTATGATAACCTCTAGTATTGCATATGCGTGTAGTTCTGCTGTAAGCTTTGGTATTTCAAATAAACAAAGTTTTTTTTATTGTTACAATTTTAATTTCGTTCGGTCTTTTTATTATTTTTACTTTTTTTGGTTTTAGTAAAAGGAGAGTTTCCGTTTGCATGGCTAAGTAACGCCCATTTTTTCCCCAGATTATAACTGATATTTTCCATCTGATTTCATGCAAAATATACAATACTAAGAAATCAGACGAAAAAAATATTTCCTCCAATAATATCAATGTACCAATGTGCTATATGAAATTACTGAGTATTCTTGTATACCACTGCGCACAGAATATCTAGGTTAACAGAGATTAATTCTAAAAAATACAAATACAAATTACAGTACACATCAGGCAAAATGTCAGGAAAATATAAAAATGAGAAAGATGAAATATATAAAGGTAAACAAAACTGTAAACCAATGCACTGTCTTTGGATTTTTGGCATTTGTAAATGTTTGTATGAAATCCTTTCCAAAAAATATCCACTTCTATTTTATTTTAAAAAAGGAAAAAAAGCTGGTTTACAGTTTTGTGTATCAGTTTTATAATTTGACAAACAATGTGGTAATTGTTACCAAAATAATTCATTGTATATACATGTACATGTACATGTTTCATAAACTTTGCCTATTGACACCTTTGATTGATTTCATTGCCGTGATATGCAAATACAAGTAATTATTGTTGAATTTTGTTCCAAAAATTTTAAACATATAATTACATGTGCATGTAAAGCATAATCTATGAAATTGAAAACAAACAACACAACTGAGCCTTAATCATTATGTGCCTTCAAATCTCGTCCGAAGCAAAACTAATTGAAAATTTGTATTTAAAAAAACAATTGCACATACCTTTTCTGAACATTCTTTTTATTGTGTTAAATTGATCCAAAACCTCTTCCTGAACGAATCCTACTTCATCGGCCGCCAAAACGTACACAACACAATGTATCTTGTCTTTCTCTTGAGGATGTTGACGATACATTTTGTCATCCGGTTTTATACCTTCTTTTGGGTTTATCTAATACAATAATTACATCTTTAATCAAAACCTCATTCCATATTAATCAGATAATTATAAAAGAGGGAAAAACTGTAGACCAATAAACATATACATGTACTTTCCTAAAATTTGTAGACTAGCAATGAAAAATATTGTACGAAAAAACGCTTTTTTGCAGCATGGTATATTCCTTGAGAAAAATGTTGTTGTTGTTTTTTTTTTTAATAGAAAATACGATCATTGGCAGTCAATATTCAGTATGTTAGTGCCCTTCTTTTAACTTTAAGAATATAAAAAAAACGTAGTACTTTTAAGACAAGTGGGCCTGTGTAGATTTATTCAAAATAATGTTTTGCATGAAACAACTTGAAATAACGTTACCATATATCAATTTTCAAATTAGTTTTTCCAGTATTCTATTGTTTTTCCCCGAATTAACGGACTTTGAGCATGTATTTTAGCCAGTGATCAACAAATAAAAGTGGTTATATTATCAAGAAATTTGTATGACTTAATAAGTTCAAAATATAATGCTACATTCAAAGTAAATTCTCTTAAAAGATAACATTTTTAGTGTTGTAGTACTTTGTTCCATATATTTATATTTTTGTGCTTACCAGATATCCATCTTTGATATGGCCTCTACAAATCTTCTCAATATCTCCAGTCTGTACACCTTTATCTCCCTTTGAAAGTCCCCGACAATCAATCAGTTGAACAGGTACATATTCCGTTTTATTACCAGTTTTAATTTCAAGCTTATAGTATGTTAACTACAAAGTAAAGAAGCACGTGCATCTAAATCAAAATGTATACGTGTATGTACGAGTAAATATATTTTCAAGAGAAGACTACGGCAAAATGGAAACAAAAAGATACAAAGTTAGAAAGATATTGAAGTTTCTTTAAAGAAATAAATCAATTTCTTTCAAGCTTTTAGAGAGATTGGCGTATATAATTTACCCATAAAGTGCCAATTAAATTTAATTGTTTAGATTCATTAACCAAAGCATGTAAAGTTCATTCAGTGAGATAGAACAAATTCTAACTGTAATTCTAAAGGATAAACTCTATATAGTACTAAATGAGTACATGACATACTCCTTCTGTTATACTCTCGGACCCCACTGATCCATCAACGGCTCTTTTAACCACTCTTCCCTCCTGCAGTAAGGCTGTAAAACATGCATTTACAAAGGAAGATTTCCCACTTCCGGCTTGTCCAAGAAGTAAAATATTGAGTGGTGTGTCAGTTTCAGTCGATCTCACCGATATGTTGTTCATAAAGGTTTCTTTTAACTGTAGACAAACAGACATTTTATCAGCCGCAATAATATATCAATCCCTACGTTTTTTTTCTCCGGAAAATAGATTTAAAAGAATCGGAGAGGGCTACATAAGTGCAACTAACATTTTACTTGTATAAGCTTTTAGAGGGCTGTTCGTATTTTTTAAATATTATCCTATACTACAAAGAAATAAATAATCTTTTCAACGTGATTGTTATAAAATTCCTTACAATGATTTTATTAGCAGACGAAAAAAAATTTAATCATTCTTTGACGCACAAAGGGGAAAATTAAGTAAAATAGAATCTCTGTAAATTTTGTTATTCCTAAAATTTTTGAAAATTACATGTTTCAGAACCTAAAAATGATCATATTTGAAAATATGTTGGTACTCTTCCTCCCTATACTGCAGAAAATGTTAAATAAGTTTCCATAGTTACAATGATTTCCACGAATGAATGTAAGAAGACTAAAAAAATTGATTTTCTTTTTTCTTAAACACATTTTTTCCAAGTTTGAAAATTGAAACAAGTTGAATGTTGTTTACAAGTTTGCAAAAATGAGTTGTGTGACCTTGACATAAACAACATCTTTCTGTTAGATACAACCTTTAACCCCTTATATTGTGCAGTCAATGCGGGTTTAATTGTCATATATTCGCTGAAAAAATTTCAAAGTCTGGATTCCTGTATGCTATAGATATCTTAATTAAACCTTTTGATTTTGACAAAAATTTGCCCTTTAAAAGAATAAGATATAAATAAAACATATCTTATATACACTGACCAATCATATTTTTAATTTTGAACAATATTACAATTAATGTGTAAGAAAATTGATCAGAGCACGATGTCAATGGCTTATTATATTTGCATAATTTTTTAAAAAATAAAAAACTGTATAATGAAAACGTTTTAAACATGCGAAAATTTCAATAATGATAAATAGTTTGTAACATCAGTCAAAAGTTGCGATATAATGCCACACAATATCTGTAATGTATGTCATATAGTTAGGGTGAAAAATTATAAACGGGATATAACATGTACCGAACAAGTTAGGATCTTTTACTGTACCAAATCAGTAATTTACTAATTGAATAATTTATAATTTTAAATAAATGATTTTTTTCAACAGATAACATTTAAATTGTTGTAAAATTTAATCAAAACATGCTTTAGTACACGCCATGTACAACAAAATTGCATTTCGAAATCATAAAAGTTTAAAACATGTCTTTATCTGAGCGATATTCATGCATTTTTAATTTTCTATTGTTAACACTTGTTGAATAGATTGTGCATTTACATATTAGCATGATGTAATCTTAACAAACTTTAAATGATCAGACACGATGTATTAAATGGCTTATTATCTTTGCATATTTTTTTTAGAAAATAAAAAGAGCAGTATAATAAATTTAACACGTTTTAAACATGCGATAAATTTGACCAAGTCTTTCTTTCGTCGTCTTATGTGCATGTCTAAATAGTTTGTAACTTTTTTATCACTCAAAAGTTGCGATATACATGTATGACAACTTTTTCGTCAGATAGGAACTCCAAAATATGTTCCCTAGAACTCTGATTATGTTCAGGTGCTGAATTTTGAATTGCAAATTTAAACCTGGAAAGAATTGTAAGACAAAGATGGATAGAAACTGGGGAAAGGGAAACGTTTTTAATGATAAATTCTTTCACTTTAAATTTGTACCATCATCTTGAAAAACAAGGTACATGTACCGTTAAATGTACAATTGAAATAAATTGTTACCTGCGGGACGTCTGTCAAGGTCTCGTGGATTTTTCGCCATGGTTCATTAAGAAAATCTATCAAGTAAAACATGTTAAGATTTTAAGCATCTCTCTCTGAAAACCAACTTAACTTTTTAAAAAAGAAAAACATATTCTTACTTGAATTTTTTTCCGCCTCATTTCTTTGTTTAGACGTCTTTTCAATTCGTTTTAATAAATCTACGAGGCATAAAGACCAAAATGTTAGATGAGAAAAGTAAAGAAATAAATACATCTGTAACAACAATCAGTTATTTTAAGAAATTCAATCAGCATTGCATGTGTTCATTTTTAAAATCATTTTAAAAGTCCATAAGTTTTGTGTCTGTGACATGGATAGTGTTAGAAAATGATCGCAGACTGTATTCTTAGTATGTAGTAAATGGCTCTGACTGCTCTAAGAGATCATATTGAAAAAAAGCAATAACATTTTCAGATATTATCAGATATCAGAACATTTGTGCAATCAAAAGTTGCAAAAAAGAGCTCAGCATACGTATAATTGATTTCATTCTTACTATGTACCCCGTAAAACCCCAACATGGAAATCGGAATAGATACAGCTACTGCTCCTTTTACATTAACTGAAAAATAAACAAAATGAATATGCTGAGCTACGCAGTTTTTATATCCTATCTCCATTAAAATTTACATTCCACTAACACACTTAATCACTTAATGACGTATAAAATTTTAATAATTTGAACTATCTTTAAGATTGTGATATTTTTAGCCTCTGGGTGAAACAAAAATACTTGCAAAGCTGCAACTTCTTTAAAGGGGATATCTGAAGTTCTTTGAAGCACACATATTCTAATAAGATATTATTGAAACAGATATGAGTTATTTTGCATCGTACTACTGCTATCCTTTAACTGCTGTAATAAGCCCATTTTCTGTATTGCCTCCCTCAAACCTGTTAATTAATTAAAACCATTATCATAGAACTTGCAAAGCAAATATCTTACGGTAGATAATAATTGTATTTTTACACAAATTTCTCTTTACTGAATATTTATCAATGATGTTTTTATGCAACTTCGTGTAATACATTTATAGGAATAGAAACTTTTCTGCTTCGCAATACAATGTAATTACCTTTCATTTAATTTTTTTTATCTAAATGAATTATATATTCTATTAAAATTTCCTTACCTTCATTTTCTTTTGCCAAATTCAGTATTTCCGTCTTTAAAACTGTCTCAAATAATACTCTTTTTATTAGTACAAAATATCAATGAGCCGGGTTTTTGCTGTTAATGAAGTTGATATTTTCTTACATAAAGCTAAAAAATATCTTCTCACCTGAGAATTCTGCAGGAGAAACGATAGATGAACCTCCACCCATTATAACTAAAATGTAAATGCCACATTATTTTATTAAAAATATTCAGATTCTATCTTTAAAATGTAATTAAAACGCCAGAAAATCAAAGTAAGAACACTTCATCTTACCTTCAAATCGACAAATATGTGTAGATATGTCGACGATGTATTATCAATTAACGCTAGCCACAGCTATGTCTAATTAATTGTCAACCAGATTAAAACAAAACGTAATATGTGCAGATAACGAACAGTATTCAAGCTCAAAAGTCCAATAAGCATCGCAAAAAAGGGACAGAGCAAACGCGGACCTCCGAAACATCAGATGTGGAATCAGGTGCCATGGAGGAGTGAGCATCCCCTGCATACCGGTCACACCATCCGTGTTCTCCTTATGATGATTGGGAAATAACGCAAAATATGTCGTCAATTCAGTGTTTAAATAGTGGACTAACAGTTAGTATGAAAAACGTTAGTCAGCTTTTGACTCAATGATAACACCCTTGTGAACAGAATCAGCTGAGAAATTTAAACTCAATATGCAGGTGTTGAAGGCATAAGTAAGGGAATTTGACGATTGAAAAGTTTAAGTCATCAGGTTCATCATAGAATGTGGTTGATATATATCCAATGACGTCTTTTTTTCAACTTAAGATATTCAAATATGGAAAAGATGTGTCAGACGCTGTACATAAATGACACATTTGTTTCATACTTTAATATTTTCATTATGTTAGACGTAACTGGTAATCTAACTACAGAACAATATGATAAACGCAACAAATCGTAATTTTTATGGTCGGGATAATGATTCTGTCCGGAAAAACAAGCAATCTTTTATTTAGCTTTATGCTAAAAACCTGTTTTTCGTGAATTATAAGACCATTATTAAAGCGCTGACTTGTCTACGTTTCATCCCGTTTGCACTACAAGGAGTACATAGCTTATGTGAACGATTGGCAAGTGAAGTCACCTCTTGTAATTGTAGAGATCCGTGTTTGCTTGAATATGTAATCAATTTAATTAAATTCGTAAGTAATTAACTTGAAATTTTCTTGAATTCTTCACTGACAGTATTATGAACAAAAGTCTTTAGAGACCAATTGTTATGCGTCCAAGTTGTGTGCAGATGGTGTGCGAGATTAGGAACAGAATTCCAACGAAATTAAAGTTTTACCCTATTTACTGACATGCCTGTTTGTTTTTATAAAGAAGCTTTAAAACTTCTTCATGCATAAAAGATTTAGAATAAGGATATAAGCGAACAGTAAAGTCCATTAAACAAATACAAACAAGAACAGAGCAAAATTCCGAAACATCAGAGGTGGGATCAGGTGCCATGGAGGAGACATACTGCGTGTGCTCATTGTCATAATCAGGTTAGTCAATTCAGTGTATAAAACTAACAATTATTTCATTTCACAATGATAAATTGTATTTTGGTTTGAATATTTTTAACACTTGTTTCATCAACTTGCTTGTCAAAAATTTACCTCGTTTAAGAAATTGTGTCATACTTTATCAACTGAGATAATAAAAGACTTCACAGAGTTAAAATATTTTTTCATTCACATTTGGATTTGAATATTTTTTAACACATACGAATGTCATACTTTAAATAAAAGACTTTACAGAGTTTGTTCTAGCAATTTTTTTTGAATATTTACCTAACAATTCACACGATTTAAATTTTGAAAATATTAATTCAGAATTTGTCCCAAAAAAATCTTGAAAAAAGAATAAATTGATCATATATATATTGATTTTTGATACGTATTTCGTTTATCTATTATGTGTATGAAATAAGCGATATACATAACTGCCAGATTAGAAAAAAAAAATTATCTTAGTATTCAAATATACGCCTATAAATAATAAATATATCCATAACTAAGAGGTCGGTTTAAATTAACTATCACTCAGAACTGATAAAATATAAGTTTCGGTTTCATACTTGCACAGAATGATCTGAGTCATGAGACACATGGTAATTCTAATGTATATCAGTTTTAAAATGCGTCTATCATGCATTACCTTTGCGATAAGAATAACCCTTAGTGCAAATAAGTTGTATGAATAAACATAAAAGATAAATATTTTGCTTGACACACTTATATAAATAAGTAAAGATTTACCTTTTTCAATGAAAAAATATGCATTGTTTAAAATGTTATATCAAGATTAAAAAAAATTACGTGTAATTGTCCCAGGGAGTAGAAATGAGACATAATTATATAATATATTATGAAATCAGCATATAAATCTAATCATTAGGAAAGATTTTTAATCAAATGACGGATTCTGAAATTATTGACAAACAAATTAATGAAAAAAGAAATTCAGCAGTCTCGTTAAAAGTCGTCATTTCGTAAGTTCAATGGTCGACACAATGACTCTGTCAGTTGATTGATTTTATATTGTTTAACGTCCCTCTTAAGAATTTTCACTCATATGGAGTCGCCACAACTTGCCAATGGAGAACTGCAATTGCCCTATCCTCGGCACTCAGAGCCATTGCGCAGGGAGGGATCTTTTTGTGCCAGCACCTACTGCGACACGGGACCTCGTGTATACGGCAATGCCCTTGTAACCAATGCGATTTTTGCATACAAAACATCAGTTCATTGTTAATACACTGAATTGACGACCAATTTACCCGTTATTTCCCGAGCACACGGCGGGTGTGCCTGATCCGCAAGGAATGTCCTCTCCTTGACATGACACCTGATCCCACCTCTCTTGTTTTGGAGATCCGTCTTTGCTCTGTTCCTTTTTTGTCTTATGGACTTTTGCTCTTAAAAAATGTTCGTTTGGAAAAGAAAGGATTAGGAAGAGAGCAACTATAGACCTATAAATCATCAGGGATGAGATAAGGTGTCAGGGAAGCGTAGATTACTTGTCGACCTATTACAAGTATCGGATGATTCTTTCCATGCTTTTAGAAAAGAGACAATTCCCTTTCAGTTTTCGACTTTATGAAAGATTGAAATGAAATACAGTTGTACTGAGTAGTTTTAGTTGAACTGACTGACAATTGTAACGAATTGACATTAACTTGTGACTTTGGATGACTGTTGATATCTTGTCTCATCAATTTGTTTATCGATAGCTTGTTTCAGTTTGAAAATTTGTGAACTTAGAATGTGCTCTTAAATTGCACTAATCTTCAAGGAAAACACTCCATTTGCAGACGAAGTTTAAAATGATACAGAAATGATGCATATAGAAAAAAACTGGGTCAAATACATTTATCATGAAGGTTACTCAATATTTCCATCAACGAATTATTTTCAATATATAGATCATCAATTAAATCAGACTTAGTGATGAAATTTCGGGTTCACTTGGATAAACTGAACCAACAAATGGAAAGAATTAACTTATATTTAAGTATAAAATGTGCATTTCTAACATTACATTGATTTTAATAAAAACACTGCAATCCATTAAATAGTACACTGTGCATTATTATTACACCAAATCCGAATGAAACAAATGAAAAGAATTATGTATCTAAATATATTAAAAAGTATTGAAAATAAATGATGGCTTTGTGTTCTATACATAACATTTTTTGATTTTAATAAAACATTGCACTTATCCATCAAAAGTAAGGTTTTATATTACTGAAATGAAAGCTGTCAATATAGTATATTACGATGAGCTCCTAAATGAAATCTCTTTTATGCTTGTAACTGTTGAAGAAGTCCAAGCTTTCCTGTGGCCGGGAAAACCAAAATTATGTGTCGGATAAAAAAGTAAAGGTGCACAAGATTCTGTGAAAGTTGCATCAAATTTCTTTCAGTGGTATGAGGAGAGTTATGGATAAGCAGGGTTCTCCATCATTTGAAATTTTACTGTGTTGCAGAGTTTACGTGAAGCACTAAATGGCCACTGAATCTCAATCGATTATAATTACAAAAGATGACAAGCACACGCTTATTTAAAAATCTCTAATTATTTACAAAATAAATGATGGCTTTGAAAATGTACATAGTCGAAACTTAACATTTTTGAAAGTAGATTTGCCGTGTTTATTTATCAGGATTCTTGATCGAGTTACCGCATTTCAAAAAAGGGAAATTCAGAACAGTAAAAATATTTTAAAGAATTCCTTGAACATGCTGAAATTTCAAAATTTCAAAATGTTTGACTTACATTGTTTTAGAGCCGTGGCTCTAACGTTATAGGAAAGACATATTTAAATATTTTCCATAAATAATACAATGTATTTTATTGCAAGTTTTCATTGAATTGTGAAAACAATTTATTTGTCTTTGTTTGTTCCGGCGTAAAGTCCGGCGAGGGTGTAGGAGATAATTGATTGATTACTCAAGATGAAGCCCTTGTAATTAAGTGTCCTAACTTTTTGAAATGAAAGACGGTATAATTGCATGATTAAAGTTTCAGTTAGAGAAAAATTGTGTGTTTAGATTTTCTAATTATCTCAACTCTTACTGTGTTGGAAAGTTGCATCAAATTTCTTTCAGTGGTATGAGAGTAAAACAGTTGTGGATGGATAAGAGATGGGTACCCCAAAGCGTAACAGACGGACGGACGGACGGAATTAACGATTACTATATACCTCCCGCTTTTCAAGCGGGGGTATAAATATATCTTCTGATCTTAAAAATTGCATTATTTGTCATTTCCATATTTTATATGAAATATTAGACGTGAAATCAGAGGCCTTGGACGATTGAATTTTCTGTCCAGGGGTCAATATCGCTGTGTATTTTTTTGGTCGAAAACTGATTGTGTAATCTTAACCTTACAGTAAACATGTTTCAAATTCTAGATTATATCATTTATGTACCCTTCATGTAGTAATTAATATTAAAACTAAACCACCTTACCGTTTGACTTAAAGAATATTGCAATATTAATTTAACTGCAATCTTTTTGTATTGTCTAATTCTGATTTTATTTATCAGTTACATATATTGAATTATCGAAGTCTAGCTAACAGTTGAAAAAAAATTAAAAACAGCGTGCATTTTTTTTTATCTCATAGAGAAAACGAATCATGAACTGGACAAAAACATGCACGGGCGTTATACATACCAGATAATGGCACAGGTGAGAAGAGCGAGTTTGCTTTCTTGTTCCTCAGACAAACCCGTAGTAACCTTCATATCCGATTCAGATAGACTTGGTAAAACAAAGCCAAGTTCAATACACAAATAATATATACTCTTCAAAAAAAGAAACGCATAGTAGGAACAATGCCCTGAATATTTGTGATACTTTTGTCATACCTTTTATTATTGTATGGATACGATGTATCCGAGTGAAATGAATGATTTTTTAATGCAATTGTTAACTTTACAGTTATTCTAAAAGTCTCACAGACAAAAAGGCGTGATTTTGCAAAATTTCCACCAAAATTTTAATCTCAATTTTCATTTGTTGAATTCCTATGCAATTCCCTCAGGTACAAAGGGGCTATCAAAAGCGGGGGTTCTCGATATTTTGAATCTTGTTTTATCCGAGAAATGACGATTCCTAAAAAGGCTGCATCTGAATGTTGTGTGGCACAAAAAGGAAAATTATGACTACAATTGCAAAAGGTTTTAATGTTACACACAGACAACATCTAACCTATAAAACATAAACCATTAACATTGAACATCCCATGTTTGCAAAAAATATGGTAGACTACGTGTGACATCAGCAGCACAGCATCACTTCCGAGGATAATGCAAATTGCATGAAAGTAATGCAAGGACGTTATCTAAAGCATAAGCTATCCCTGAACTGCACAGATCATCTCATAAGACCGTTTTCAGTTGACTACGAATTATTGCAAAAGGATTATTCATGCCATTTTTCGACCCCTAAACACCACAAATATCGACTTTAAAGATCTCTGATAAATAGAGTATGACTACAGCATCACTGTTGAACATTTTGGTGAACCTACTAGTCCAGAATGTTTATCTGAAAGCCTCTCACAAGTTTAAGAGTGCCAATGCTTTTTAATGAAGGTTAGATGGATAAAACGTTAAAAAAGTTGGCGGTGGTAGTGTAATGATATGGAAAATGGTATTATATGAAAGTAAAATTGACTTGGTTCGAATTCAATGGACTTTGATGGTAAAAGGTACTCTAACCATGTTCTGCCTCCACATACCCATTCAATTTTGCAGCATCCTAGAGCCGTATTGCAATCTCACACTACACAGCCACATATGGCTTGTTTGATACACCTATTCTTGCAAAGAAACAACAACCTCTTCCAGTCACAAACATCTAAATCACTAGATTTAATCCAAATTAAGCAGCATTGGACAAAATGAATCGATATGATTTGCCAAAGAGAATTGCATCCCCAGACTCTGCAACAGCTGACTAAAGTTCCACATTTGGAGTGGGAGAGTATTCCTATACAGTTTTCATTACACACGTTTGCTTCCATTAGATGCCATGTGTGGCTATCATTTGTGTCTGCGGGGGCATATCAGATATTGATCTTTAATGGTCTTAAACTGACTATAATTTTTAAATTGTTGAGTAATTATGACATTTAGATAGTATTCATGTTGCTTACCACATTTCTGTTTTATCAATACATCATTTAACTAAATAATCTTTATGTTCAATGTGTCACTAAAATTCTACGATGCATGTATGGTCTGACAACCCAACAATGCAGCATACCAATATGCCTTTTTCCTTTTTTAACCTACTTTGAAAGAATCATAAAACATTAAAAACTGTTAAACAAAATTATGACTATCAACGAACAAGGTACAAAGAAGGAAAAAAGCATATTGATTTTTGGTAACTTTAGTAACACAGATCATCAAATAGTCATAATGCACATGAATATGTGTAAAAGGGGATATTTATTTTTTTCAAAAATGATACCCATATTTCTGACAAATATGAAATAGAAGTGAAAAAGTGATTAAAAAATATTAGAAATTCATAATTTATTTACATGTAAAATCTTCCATCGTTAAAAATCTGACAAAAAATGTTGATAACAAGAGCAATCAATAGCGGAGCATTCTCTTGCAAAAGAGTATACATATATCTATAATTCAAAATAACAGTCAATAATGTGAAAAAGAGGACCACATTGCTTACCTGACTAACTTTAGCTATTCTGTCATTTAAAATATTACCCTTTTTATACCTAACTTGACCCTAACAATCCAAAAGAATCATAATTCAAACAAATAAGAATTTACACTACCCAAGGATGCTTCCGAATAAGTTTCAAATTTTTTTCCCAAAATGCTTCAATGTAAAACTTTCAATAGTAGCCCCATTTAAAATCAACACTATACCAAAGGATGCTTCCACATCAGAGTCAGATTTCCTGCCAAAGTGTTCTTTAGAATATACTTCAACGTAAAACTTGGATTCCCTTTAATGGCCCCGCCCTACCCCAGGGTTATGATTCATGCAATTTCAAATCTACACTTCTCAAAGGATGCTTTCACATAATTTCCATATTTTGTGGACCAGTTGTTTTTGAGAAAAAATGTTAATTACCTCAACTTATTTTTGTTTTTGCTGTTTTTTTTTATATCTCCCCTTGAGAAAAGATTTGGTCCTTAATTCATTTTCAAATTTAAATTTCCTTTCACCTGAGGCGACTAAGTATCTAGTTTCGTTAAAATTGCCCCATTGGTTCTGTAGAAGAAATTGAAAATGTGAAAAGTGTACAGACGGACGGATGAACAGCTAACATACGGGCGACAGACAAAATGTAATAACAATATCTTAATTGAGCTTTCGGCTCAGGTGAGCATAAGTGGCAAAGTCACTTTTGTTTCGCATTTAAGGGTACATCAATTCAAACATTCACAAACACGTTAGTATATCCTTCCAGGGAGGTAAATAAAAGATGTCAATATTATTGTTTCATAGTGTGTTTATTTCCCTTTAGATAACAAGTAATTGCCTTTTTAGCGTCCTTGTTCCTAGGACAAGGATAAAATACACCGTTCCATATCAGAAGAGTTGTAAAAGAATCGACTCTTCTGTCCGAGCACCTGTCCAGAATTTTCGTTGGTCTCTGAGTCGGTTCACATGAATGTATTATGATCAGCATTATTTTTCCTTAATTAAAATAAAAGAAATGATTTTTCAGAAATGAATTAATAACAAATCATTTTTCAGATATGAATCGTTAAAAAAATATTTCTCAGATTTGAAAAAAAGGTAAGAAGAGGAAGTTTTTTTTTAATTCATAGATTATTATACTCTCCTACCTTTATATGAAATGTTTTCTAACAATGTATCAATTTCGTCCTTCAGTCGGGAGGAAGCGTAACATACAACCAGGATTAGAGAATCGAGTTTGGGAGAATCCTTTTGATCTATGCTTTGTAAAGCATATTCTGGAAATTCCTTACTAAATAAGTTCTCAAACAAATGTCCTGATTTCTTAGAGCTTTGAATGCAAAAGACCTTCTCTGTAAAAAATAAAGGCAAAGATTGTCTTTCAAGTCGCCATTTTATTATTTTAGTGTATGAGCATTAAGGTAAATTAAAGATTGTTTTTTTTTTCTTTTTTTTATTTTTTTTTTAAAATAATTATTTGCACGAGTTGGTGAAGTGTTTAACTTAAAACAACTGGTAAGCAGGATGAATTCTTACTAGTGTGCCTCATCTTTTTCCACCACAATCGCAGGAAACCTATTGTTCCAAGAACTGTAATTGCTATGTTTCTCTCTTAAAAACACACAGAATTACATAAATGAATTTAAAAAATAGAGAAAATGCAAAAAATCAAATAAGGTATACTGTACCAGTTGCAATGAAATGAATCAATGTAAACGTTACTAAAACAATCTAGAATAAAATACGAACCTGAGAAAATTTTACAGATCAATCTACAGATAAAACCATATTGTGCTTGGATTCCTGAGAAAGGAAAAAAATGATAAAGAGTATAACCTTTATAAGTGCAATGATGTCATCATGTAGAATCAATGACAATGTAGACGATGTTAACACGATATTGTATCAACATTGTTTACATGTCGACAATATCGAATACGTTCTATTTCCACTATTGAAGAGTTATAGTTCTAAGTGCGCTCTTTTGTAAAAAAGTCGGAAAATGTACAAATCTCGCGGGATTTCTGGGACAAACGTAACATAAACATGTAAACAACACGTTGACTGTCGATGAACAGATGCTTACAAAATGCATATGAAATATTTAATTGTTGTGGGCTTTATTTAAATCAAGAGTAGAGATGACAAGGAAATTTAATTTTCCTTTATTGGTGATCGTATGTATTTATTTATCGTAATGGTATATTTAAAGACAATACACATACCTCGGAAATGTCGTATTTTTTATTAATGGACGATAAAGTTAGGGCTTTTGCTCTCTTTCATATGTCTTTTAGTTCTTCTATTTTTTGGTTAGAATGACAAATTAACTAAACATTTAAAATTGGATTGAAACTGGCATGTTTTGTACTATCCACAACGCCATGCTGTCCCAGTCAGACGACCAAACGCGCCTCTAATTCTGAAGAGTTCACTAATGGAAATATAATGTATTGATTGAGGAACCTGGATATGAATGTGTTTTATTTTATTTTATTATCGTACATAGTATAATATTATCATATTATAATACAAATTATTGCCATAGCAGATATCAATAAAATTACTTTTCTGCCATCTACATGTAATCTAGTTAAACAGAAAAATAGTTTTAAAATGATCCTTAAGGTACAATTTGAACCATATTAAAAAAAATTATTTTATTTGCAATTAAAGGATTTCTTTTATCTTACCTAAGTCAAAAATATTTCCAGGTTGGTATAAATTATCAAACGAATAGAGAAAGATTGGTATATCCATCTAAATCAAAGAAAGTCATAAATGCCAATTAAGTATCATATACATTTATATGAAAGTAAAAGGTTTTTAAATTGTATTGGATTGAATATTTCGAAAGTTTTGGATTGTAGAGATATAAAAAGGTTTTGTTTTGGAATTTGAGTTTATTGTGACCAAAAAATGTAATAAACTAAAAATGAATTTATTCAAATTTAAAATTGTTTAAGTTAACGATATTTCGAATTTCACTAACAGAAAAGCATTCGTCAAAAAGATATTTTTTCTCTTACGATGAAATTTAAATAATCAAACGATTTTGCACAATTCTGTGAAATTACAGGAGGAGGTTTGAAATACCTAACTATATTTCATATTTTAGTAAAATACACTGTACGGTGCCATATTTTCTTGTTCCTATTAAGCTGAACACTGAATATTTGGTAAAATAAAAAAAAAGTAATTTTTTGTCAACCTTTTTGTCATGTTATGTCATGAATCAAATCAGCGTTGATAATTGCGGAAGTATATAAAAACGCTCTCTTTGTTTAGAATGCGTGCATTATGTTTTCCAGTTCTTGAACTTAAGTTTACAGATAGGCAAACAGAAGTGATCAAACTGTGAGGTAATTATCTACTACATTTGATAATGATATTCATAGTCATAATCATTTTTATATGCATTAATCATGCGAATTATCAATATGTCATGAATTTATAATTTCGTGAAATACGAAAAGACCACTATATTTTCCTGTATACACAAGTCTCTTAATCGATTTCTTTACTCTTTTTATCTTCTTAGTTTATATTGATAAATCAACATGAAATGAACCGAAAGTAGAAAAAGGAAATGTATATTACATTCAAAATTACCTTATTTCAAAGAAACCAATCAACTTTCCTATGTAGTAACCTGTTTTAATGATAAATTCCTCCCAAGTTCAAACATTTATCTTTCGTATGAAGAAAATAGTTAAAATAATTCCCCTCGCTTTCATTGTTTACGCGGCGGCCGCTTAGAAAACAAAAATAACTAGTACAATGACGCAAACTTCCGTTTTGAAGTGGAGCTTGAATTCAAATGCAAATTAGATATTCGAATCGTTGTTGTCTTTTATGTTTCAACCTCTATTTAAAATTTTATTTCATTTAAAAGCTTCCCCCAAAAATAGTTTAAACTCATAGGTCGGGAAGGGGAAAATGGGAATGCAAAAAAATCATAAAGCAGAAGGGTTATGCATACGTTCAACTCAAACACCTTGGAAGATCTTATACCAAGTTTCTAATGGTGGTCATTGAAAGACTCTCCCTTTTTATTGATAGACTTGAATTATACAACTGTATTTTTATGCTGAATTCTATGTATATTAAAATGAACATTAAATTTCTTGAAAAAAAAAAGTATTCCACTAGCGATATTTATCAATATATTTTTTATTGGAATAATTTAAATCCAAGTTTTCATTTGTGCTTTAACTGTTTTCATAAATATCCTTTACCCTCCCCAATCCCATCCCATTTGCATCAATTAATTTTACGTTGTATTTACACAATTTAAGGATTCGTTGTTTAGGAAAATAAAAAAAAGATAAAAATCTTGTAAATTCAAACCAAACTTATCAGCGGAAGTTTCTGCCATTGCACCATTTAACACTTCCTGTAATGAATTATTGGAAACTTGAAAAACTTGCAAAAAATAAACTTGATTTTACGGGTCTGAAACAACGTTGTTTTAAGTTTTGTTTATTTATTAAGTTTTATTTAATTTTAATGTAACGACTTGATTTGTTTGATGAGGAAATCAATCAGCAAATTCAGTTTATAAATACTTACTTTTATAATCTTCAGGAGATAAACTAGACGATCCACCTCCCATTTCTTAAGTAAAACAAAAACATATAGAATTGATATAACAAAAAACAAATATGAATAATATGCTTAGAAGACATTGATTGCTATCGTACATCTTCAAAGGATTTGTTTAGACTATCCGTTCCCATGAATTTAAATTTCTTCCAACATCCCAGGACAAGAAAATTCATTCCACAGATTATTTTTTCAAAGGAAGGAATTTTTTATTCCGCAGGAAAGAAATTAATTTCATGGGAACAGATTTCTATTTGTGGGATCGAATTTTTATTTCACTATAGCAAATTTGCATTCTGTTTTATTTCGTCGGAAGGAATTTATTTTTTACGAAAAATAAAAAAAAAACCAAGTCTATGTATTATAGCTACCTTATTAGTATTAAAGCATGTTCAACGAAATCCTGGATACATCGCGTGAAATCTATTACTGTCTATATTGAATATTGATTTCGTATGTTAAACTAAGAATGAAAGAGAAATCGGTGGACTTTATTTCAGTGTTGTGATTTTTTGTCTCTCTCTCTCTCTCTCTCTCTCTCTCTCTCTCTCTCTCTCTCTCTCTCTCTCTCTCTCTCTCTCTCTCTGTGTGTGTGTGTGTGTCGTTTTGTTAAAACAGATTCTGGTTGCACACAAAAGTACTCTGGAGTTGACATCAAGAAGATGCTTGAGTTTCTGATTGACAATATTTATGTGGTTTTTGGAGACCAGGTATTCCAACAATCCATTGGAATTCCCATGGGTACAAATTGCGCTCCATTATTAGCAGACTTATTTTTATATTCATATGAAGCAGAATTAATGCAAAATCTTTTACGTGAAAAGAAAAAAAACACTTGCTGTGGCCTTCAATTCGACATTTAGATATATCGACGACGTATTGTCAATTAATAATGATAATTTAGATTCCTACGTCGACACGATATATTTTGGTGAGCTTGAGATTAAAGATACCATTGATTCCGACACTTCTGCTTCATACTTGGATATTTTACTTGAAAAAGACACTAATGGTAATCTAACAACCAAGCTATATGATAAACGTGTTGACTTTAACTTTTCTATCGTCAACTTCCCTTACTTATGCAGCAATATACCTTCATCACCTGCATATGGCGTATTTATATCTCAGTTGATTCGATATGCTAGAGCATGTTCTACGTATGAACAATTTCTTAAACGAGGTAAATTATTGACAAGCAAGTTGATGAAAAAAGAATATCAACAGTCTCGTTTAAAGTCATCATTTCGTAAATTCTTTGGTCAATACAATTACCTTGTCAACAATTCAATTTATCATTGAATGCAATGCTGATTGACGTTTTTCATACCAATTGTTAGTCCATTATTTATACACTGAATTGACCACGGATTTTTTCCGTTATATCCTGATTATGGCAACGAGCACACGGCGGGTGTGACCGGTCGGCAGGGGATGCTCACTTCTCCATGGCACTTGATCCCACATCTGATGTTTCGGGGGTCCGTGTTTGCTCTGCTCGTATTTTGTATATTTGTTTAATGGACGTTGAGATTGAATACTTTTCCATATCCTACTTTGTCATTGATTCTACATGACGACATCATTGCACTTATAAACGTTATACTCTTTATCATTTTTTTCTCTCAGGAATCCAAGCACAATATGGTTTTATCTGTAGATTGATCTGTAAAATTTTCTCAGGTTCGTATTTTATTCTAGATTGTTTTAGTAACGTTTACATTGATTCATTCCATTGTAACTGGTACAGTATACCTTATTTGATTTTTTGCATTTTCTCACTTTTTAAAATTCTTTTTTGTAATTCTATGTGTTTTTAAGAGAGAAACATAGCAATTACAGTTCTTGGAACAATAGGTTTCCTGCGATTGTGGTGGAAAAAGATGAGGCACACTAGTAAGAATTCATCTTGCTTACCAGTTGTTTTAAGTTAAACACTTCACCAACTCGTGCAATAAATTATTTTTAAGAAAATAAAAAAATAATCTTCAATTTACCTTAATGCTCATACATGTAAAATAATAAAATGGCGACTTGAAAGACAATCTTTGCCTTTATTTTTTACAGAGAAAGTCTTTAACATACAATGCTCTAAGAAATCAGGACATTTGTTCGAGAACTATTTTGGTAAGGAATTTCCAGAATATGCTTTACAAAGCATAGATCAAAAGGATTCTCCCAAACTCGATTCTCTAATCCTAGTTGTATGTTACGCTTCCTCCCGACTGAAGGACGAAATTGATACATCATTAAAAAACATTTCATATAAAGGTAGGAGAGTTAAATCATTTATTATTATTTTTTACAAAAAACTTCCTCTTTTTATTTTTTGTCAAATCTGAGAAATATTTTTTTAACAATTCATATCTGAAAAATCATTTGTAATTAATTCATTTCTGAAAAAATTCATTTCTTTTAATTTAATCAAGGAAAAATAATGCTGATCATAATACATTCTTGTGAACCGACTCAAAGACCAACGAAAATTCTGGACAGGTGCTCGGACAGAAGAGTCGATTCTTTTACAACTCTTCTGATATGGAACGGTGTATTTTATCCTTGTCCTAGGAACAAGGACGCTAAAAAGGCAATTACTTGTTATCTAAAGGGAAATAAACACACTATGAAACAATAATATTGACAACTTTTCTTTATCTCTCTGGAAGGATATAGAAACGTGCTTGTGAATGTTTGAATTGATGTGCCCTTAAATGCGAAACAAAAGTGACTTTGCCACTTAATCTCACCTGAGCCGAAGGCTCAAGTAAGATATTGTGATTACATTTTGTCTGTCGCCCGTTTGTTAGCTGTTCATCCGTCCGTCTGTACACTTTTCACATTTTCAACTTCTTCTACAGAACCAATGGGGCAATTTTAACGAAACTAGATACTAAGTCGCCTCAGGTGATAGGAAATTTAAATTTAAATTTAAAAATTTAAATTTAAATTTGAAAATGAATTAAGGACCAAATCTTTTCTCAAGGGGAGATATAAAAAAATAGGTTGAGGTAATTAATTTTTTTTTTCAAGAACAACTGGTCCACAAAATATGGAAATTATGTGAAAGCATCCTTTGGGTAGTGTAGATTTGAAATTACATGAATCATAACCTCGGGGTAGGCTGGGGCCATTTAAGAGAATCCAAGTTTTACGTTGAAGTATATTGAAAAAGGTTTTAAAATCACAAATAAAAAAGCTCTTGTATTATTTGGGAAACGACATGATGGGTCCCCCGACAGTTTGTGTATAACTATATGGTCAACGTCAAGCATCAAACCATCCGTTACTTTGCAACTTTCAGCGAACAATGAAAACAAACATTTATGTCCTGTTTTAGCTATAAGGGAATATATAAAATTGAGAGGACAAAATGCAGTTCATCTGTTTATGTTCAAAAACAAATCTCCAATACCTAGGCAATATTTCAATCAACAATTGAAAATCTCTTTCAACTTTTTGAACTTTGACACAAAAGGTTACGTAGGATATTCTTTCAGAATTCGTGCAACAGCATAGGAAAAACCAAAAGGAGTTTTCGATGCCCAAATTCAACTGTTAGGACGTTGGAAATCTAATGCTTACTTTGTATAAGAAATACATTCGAATTCCCTTATTGAATTCGTAAACAGGGCATGAGGTCAGGCGTCTCTGTCCATTAAAGTTACTTGTAGAGTATGGGCACTAATTTTTTATATCAGATATGGTAACTTTTATTAGAAAAAAATTAATGCATAAGTCATCTGACATGGGGCTATAGACCTCTGTTTGAATGGAATGTTAATTTATCTTTATTAAATTATGTAATTTTAACTGAGCAAGTTCTTACAAATTGGTACGTTATACGGGGGCTGCTCAATAAATAATGTCCTCGGTGTTCGAAAAGAAGCAAAAGACGCTTTTCAATGATTTATTCTTCATGATTTTACTTAAGAATATCATTCTTTTAATTACAACACATGTCCGTAACTTTCTTATTCAATTTCTGATTATTTTTAGAACTTTTTTTAGTATACTAAAAAAATGACAGATCCAATGATTTCCTGAAATTGTCTCTTCCTTCTGAAAGGTGTTATTTCCTGTATGTATAATATTATCTAAACTATAATGTCAACAGAGAATATAAATGTGAAACATGCTTTTGATCCCATCGTACTTCATATGAACCCCTTCGATATATATCAACCAGCAAAATAGTAGCTAGCCTAGATATCTACATGTAGTTAATTAAAATAATATTTGAGGAATCCTAACTATATCAACTGAACCATCGATATCCTTAATTACTATGCACACATTGTTATTGTTCTAGTTGAGTTTAAATTTGTCCTTCTTGTCTAGCCGCCGTTCACGGTAGCCTAGTGTTAGAGCGTTCGCTTCGTGATCGGGAGGTCCGGGTTCGATTCTTGTTCCCGGTGCCGCGTCAAACCTAAGACGTAAAAATAGATAGTGACTGTTCCTTCGCCAAGCGCTCGGCATCAGAGGTAAAAGTCACGGGTCTTTCGGATATGACCTTAAAAACGTAGGTCCCGTGTCACGGTAGGAGCTGGCACAATAAAGAACCCTCACTGCTCAAAGGCCCTGAGTGCCGAGTATAGGTCTAAAATTGAAGCCCTTCACCGACATACGGTGACGTCTCCATATGAGTGAAAAATTCTTAAGAGGGATGTTAAACAATATACAATCAATCAATCTTGTCTAGCCCCATAAGAGAAATAAAACTCTGTGAGGATACTGCTAGTCCTTTAGTAACTATAATGTATATTTGACAGATAATGTACGAATCAACTGGATTGGCATGGTACATATGCCCCCTCCCCCCCATACACACACCCTCACAAACAGCCTGCAATGCTTCCAACCAACTAAAATATTTTTATTTAAAAGTCTTTTCAGTCGTAATTCATATTTACTTGCCTTGAGGAATGTCATAGCATGTGTATAAATATTAAAATATATTAACAAATACACATCTAACTTGATGTTTTATTAATATACATACAAAATGCATTTTTGTAATTTAAGATTCAAAAACACCACAAATTACTCTGTATTTTACAAATCCATACGTAAAACAACAACCGATAAATTAATTTATCTTTGCTAAATTGGATGTTAGAGCTGTATGTTGTTGATAAGCCTTAGATATTTCCTTAATGATTTTGTTTCGAATGCCATTGTGTGACGTGTAGGCTGGTCCTTCAGATGAGACCGTATAAACCGAGATCCCGTATCGTAGTATCACAGTAGGTGCTGGAAAGAGAAACACCTGAGCAATTGGTTAGGGGAAAGGACATCTGAGATCAGAGCTGAAAGTTTACTGAGGGAGGGGGGCTTGAATTTTAACCTCCTAGGGGTGATGAATTGAACAAAATTGAATCTACACTACCTGAGAATGATTCCACATGAGTTTCATCTTTCCTGGCCCAGTGGTAATTGAGAAAAAGTTTTTTTTTTTAAGATTTTTCCTATATATTCCTATTTAAAACTTTGAGCGGCCATTTTGGCCCCATCCTACCCACGGGGGTCATGATTTGAACATACTTGAATCTAAACTACCTGAAGATGATTCCACATGAGTTTCATCTTTCCTGGGCTATTCTTCTTCTTAAGGAGAAGATTTTTTTTTAAATGCCATTAATTTTTGTCTAATTCATAATTACCTCCCCTTTGAATGGGTGTGGCCCTTCATTTGAACAAACTTGAGTGCCCTTAACCCAAGAATACTTTGTAGCACGTTTGGTTGAAATTGGCCCAGTGGTTCTTAAGAAGAAGATGAAAATATTAAAAGTTTACGACAACGACGACTCTACGAGGGCCTAGTAAAGGACAAAATTTGTAGTTATCCACCGGTAAGTGATGGCGTTTCAATGCGAGTTTTAAAAAAAATCTCCTCGAATCCTTAAAAAGTGAACTATGAGTATAAGTTGGATTACAACTTGTAGAAATAAATCCAACTTCTTCTAAAATGCTAATAATATAATGCGCCTCACAAACGAAGAAAATGTTACCGGTGTAAAGACGAATAATGACCCCCATCGAATAATGACCGAGGGGTCATTTTTCAACGACAAAAAATGACCCCCACCCGTAGAAAAAAATCATTTTTTGTACAAAAAGAGTCCTAAGGGGTCATTATTTTATATGTTAGTCCTATAAAATAATGACCCCCATTGAAAAATGACTCCCTTTAATGTGATAGAAAATATACACTCTTTGATATCTTTTTTACAGCGAAACTAATTTTTACATGCATTTTCTCTAACCAGAAAAATACAAAAAGTCGTATGAAATAATAAGAGATTCACGTAGTCTTTCAATGCTTAAATTGTGTTTGAAAAGAGATTGTTTAATTGTCAAGTGAATAAAATTTCTTTTTAATATTCCTCCTTATAATGTTTGCGAAAAGAATGATATTCCACTTGTTTTTAGAAATCAAACCATGCAAAATTCAAGTTTAAATACTGTTTAATAGGAAAAAATTTATTTTTTGTCATTTTAACTTTTAGCTTGTTTAAGTTTGACAATGAAAATTTTTATCCCCCCCCCCAAAAAAAAAAAACATTACGTTAAATCAAAACAAAAAAATAAATCAATGAAAAGCAAGAATATAAATAAAACTCTTTACTTTTCAATAATTCTGAAAGAGGCTCTAGATAAAATGTTGATATTAATGAAGTTAAGCCTTCACACAAGTACTATCATATCATTACTTCGCCATGATCAAAACATACTTTAAATGTTGGTGGAAGTATAATTGAAAGTATTCTGGCAAAGTAACAGATAAAAATTAGTAGAATAGTAGATTATTCTAAGCTTATTTTTAATTCTTTTTTATAGAAATATAAGGGTAAGTTTTTTTTTTTTTTTTGCCTTTGTTCAATATCGACTACCTCCTAAATAAGAAAAAAGGCGGGATAAGTATAAGACCTAAAAATATGCTCTGTAAAGCTATGGGCTAGTGTAAAATACACAGTCATTCTAATGCAAAATCTATACATGTAGACATAAACTTTTGATTTAGCACACAGTATTCATTACATTTCTTTTAATTAACGTAGAACCTACTTCGTATGACATCATAACTGGTAAATGTGTTAAACCTGTGCTAACCCATTAAGACGTCATAAATAATTAAATGCTACTTTTTCCCGTACTTGACAGCTTCAATAGAAATGGTAGAAAATACTTCATTTTGAAAATCACAGAATTCAATCATGCCAACATAATATTAATTCAATTCATATATTTTTGGTTTTAAATGCTTATTGGCAATATATATTTCTGGAATAAGAGAAAATATGTAGGCATATACAACTTTTGTAATAGTTTGAATCGTATGTAACCATTTTGAAGGAATGCATAAATCGTAATAAATCTTTAGTTGCCATGCATTTAGAGAGTTTAATAGTGGACTTATCTGTTATGTTCATTGAATAAAAAAGAAATTATTCGTGATAAAATATTGTTTAATATTATTCACTTAATAAAGTTTTTAAACGACGAATGTTTGCAGAAGTATTTTTGTGATTTTTCATATTCCCTTTATGACAAGTACCCCTAAAATATTTGAAAATGTGAAGTCGCTGTATGTAAATACCATACCAAGTTTCACAGCCTGTTCTGTTTTACTCAGTACTTATTACTGAGTATGTTTTTCAGAGAATTTAATAGAAAATCAGAAAAAAAATATTTTCATTGTTGTAAAGTCTTCTTTATAATGTATCATAATATAAAAAATTTATTGAAGACCATTTCTTTTTATTTCCCCGTAATCTAAGTTTCGGGGTATATAGCTTTATCGTGTTCGTCTGTATGTCTGTCTGTCTATCTGGCGGTCTGCTTGACAGAAAAACCTTAACCTTGACCATAACTTTTCACTTATTGGAGCTATGAATTTCATATTTAATATATGTTTTCCTTGTGACAAGACCTTACTTTGGATACCACCAAATTTGACCTTTTGACCTTCACCTTGGAGATTTCCGTACTTATTATTTTTTTTTAATCTTGGCCATAGCTTTTGAACGGTAAAGGCTAGGGTATTCATACTTCTCATATGTAATCCTTGTTACATTAAACAGTTTCTTAAGAAAGCATCAACTTTGACCTTTGAGTTTCACCTACCTTCCAAAAACTTATCCTTAACCATTACTTTTGAACAAGTGGTGCCAGGGTTTTCCTATTTTGCAGTTGTATTTCTTGTGAGAAGACCCTACTTCGGGTAACAATATATTTAAACTGCATTTAAGAAAAGTTTAATCTTCGCTATGGTTGCCATACAAGGACATAGCTGTTTCACCAACAAATATTTTTTTTATATGAGGATTTGCGGATATGAGATGAATACATTGTACCTATAAGCGTAACAGACGGACGGACATTCCGATCACTATATACCATCCCGCTTTTCAAGCGGAGGATATAATAATATTTAATACTGATGATTTTTTTCTGTCAGTTCGATGATTTCCTAATAAAAAAAATAATGTTTACCTAACCCTAAACGCTTGAAAAATCTTTTACTTCTTTAGATTCTGAATGATTGCATTGACCTTAAAATAGCTCTATAATTGTATAATGTTATGAGATCAACATATCATCAATTTATTTCCAATTAGTTCAGGTGATTATTTTGGCCAATATGCTTCTTATTCTATTTTTTTTTTGCCCCCCCCCCCCTAAACATTTTAGCTTTAATACATGTATACAGGGGGTTATTTTTCTTCACGTGGATTCTGCAAAATTTAGGGTTGTGACACTTTTTCTACGGGCAAAAGGGTCATTTTTCTACGTCAAATAATGACCGGGGGTCATTTTTCGCTGTCGAAAAATGACCCCCGGTCATTATTCGATGGGGGTCATTATTCGTCTTTACAACCGGCTTTATCACTAGGTACCAGTGCGTACTGATCATGGGATCTTTCGTTATTCTTTTTTCACTTTTGCATTGTTGAATACGGAAGCATATATCGTTTTCATATTGCCCCCCTTATTCCTTAAATACGTGATTGTAACATATATCTGATAGATTTTTAACCATTCTGACAAAGTGTCAACGTCTTTCTGTTCATACATGTATCTTCCCATTATCTGGAGTAGTCTTCTAAGAATCAATAATATTTATTTAATTTCGACGCCATTTTACGGATTTGGGTCCCCTATAACTGGGACCTTTTAAAAGTATTGATCTAAGGTCCTCATTATTAAGTTAATCTACGTCACCAGTAATAACATGTCCAGAAAAATCAGTACCCTGTAGACTTTTTTTTAAAATCAAAATATCTGAAAGCAATAGTCAATGTATATTTATTTTTTTTATATTTTGAATAAATAGTGTAGTCTTTTATTTTATATAAATTATGGTGGAATACAAGGCTGGGCACGTTTGTGATTTAGAATGGTGCTAACATGTATATTTACGTTAAATCTTTTGTTGGCATGAAAACGTTAAGGGAAAAGACGGGTTGTTTCACCTGCATTTCCGTTAATCAAACGTGGGGATTTAACACGTCTATGGTTTGCAATAACCATAATTACAGACCGGGCTTATGTTCGTTTATTGATGGATCAAAAAATACTCTTATCTTGACTTTTTCAAGAAGACAACTAAAAAGTTTCAATGGAAGAGAATAAATTTTGGTGCGAATATACAATATGTAAGTAGACGTAACTAATGATTTACATTCAATAATATGAGTCAAAAGAGACATCATGTATTAAAAGTTTATTTAGAAACCGATGCATATGACTAGGCTTACCTCTCTGTGTATGTTGAACAAGTCACATTCACATTCTTACACTGTGGACTGGAAAGATAGTCGTTACTATCGACATGGTCATTTCATATATAGGGAGAGATTGTCCCAAGTTTTATAATCGATAATTATTCTCGTTGTCTTTGGAAAAGTGTATTCAATGAAAGATCTCTTTGGTGATAAATCTTTTTTAGTATTCTAACTTTCATTGACAAAATAGAATGACCCGGTAAATTAAAAAAAAAATGTTTGTAATAAAGCGATTGACCGACAATATCTATTTGAAATGGATGATTTTGCATTTTTCATCAAGTGATCACTTTGGTTCACCAATATACACTATTTCGCAAAATTAACATTCTATTCCGTAGACAACATTGGAAGATTTGCAGTTGAGATTTTGCTGGCTCCGGGATCATAAAACTGTCTTAAGTCTTAAGTCAGACTTAACTCCAAAAGTTTGCACTTAAAATTTAAGATTAATCTTCAAGGGAATCACAAAAAAATGACTTAGAGTTAAGACTGGAATTTTGTCTTAAATTTTAAGACTGCTTATAGGCAGTCTTAAGTTTTTAAGATTGATCTTAAGTCTGTTTTCAATGTAAGCAGACGATAAAGTTTTGTACCTTCACGCATTGAAGAGTTCCTTGCAGTGGCGGATCAAAGTTTTGTGCGAAGTGGTGTGGTGCCATGTTCATTCAAACGTGGTACACACTATAGAATGTATTATTTTTTATATAAACATGATAAAGAGACGTTTATTTATCTCTGACTATACAAATGGCTTTTCTACCTGTATACCTGAAGAGTTCCTCGTTACTATGACAAATAAGATTTTATGGTAAGTTTTTTGCTAAGTCGAATCTTAACTATTTTTTTTGCTAAGATCGTTTTGTGATCCACTTAAAGCCTGATATTGGTATAAGAACTTTGTCCAGTAAAGAAGGGTTGGATATCAAATAGTCAAGTGTTTAACAGTTTTTTGCAACCAATTTGAAAAGACATTTGGGATCGGAAAACTAATCTACAAATATATCAGATTTCCGTTAAGGAAATCTTACATTACATTTGCTCTCAAAAAGTATTTGTTCTTGGGTAAACATGTACACAATTTTGTGCATGAAGACCTCTTTAAATATTGATTTCCAATAACCATTCCAACTCTTGTATATTTTTACACTTTTGAAATTTTAGAAATTATTTTTAAGCCTAAACAAAATTCTAAAAAAAATGTATAAATCAAAAGAAAGATGAAGCTATCGAACAATGATCGATCTAGAAGTTATCAATACACAATACATATATGTGAAGAAAGAATAAGTCACGGACAAAAGAAAATTAAGTGGGTAGGATCAGGGTTCATATGCAAAAAAAATCTAAGAATTTTTATTAAGTATTATACTTATTCCCAGATCAAACTGCTTAACTAAGAAACATACTTTAAGTTTCATGCATAAAAATTCTAAGTGCATTATACTTAGTGCATCATAGCAAAGCATATCACTTCTTGCTTAAAATAAAACGTCACAATGGTGTGACGTCATTGCGGGTTTTGACGATATTGAATCTCCCGTTTTACGTCATCATCATCGTCTGAATATGGCAGAGAAGAAACGTAAACCAAACTGGACACTGGAAGAATGTTTACATTTAACGCGTTTATTTAACGATAATAAGAAAATTTTGAGGGCTAAATTCGGCGCCGGAGTGACCACTCAAAAGAAGAGGGAAGTATGGAAAAATATTACTGAAGCAATTAATGCAGCCAACCCTTCAACCGTCCGGACTATAGAAGAAGTCGAAAAGAAGTGGCATAACATCCACATGAAGGGGAGAGGAGAAATATCTGATTTTAGAAGAAGTTTGCAAAAAACAGGTACGTGAAATGCTTGGTATGCTTGTTATGTCAGCCATGTTGTTTACCGTACCTAAGATACAAGTGATATAAGGGTGATAACTCTATTGTCGGTATTGAGGCATTACATATAACGGGATGTAAGCAGTAGAAATTTATATTCCAAGTGAAGAGACTCATAATGTATTAAAAAATTATTTTATAAAGTACCAAAGTTACATGTGTAATAATGTACCGTTGGACTTTTGGATCGTTAAAATTCGAATGACAAAAGACAGGCGTCAAAGACTGAAACAGTGAAAGAGTAGACTGTCACTGTGTCAAATTTGGAAATTATTTTAGCACGGAAAGGTTACGGAAATTTGGACGACCTTGGTAATCATGCAGATTGTTTATTTTGATTTAGTAGTATATAATAGGTCATAGTCTCACTGTGTTTACCCTAATGGCATGTCCTAGAATATAACCATGCCTTTATTTTTTATAAACCCCCCCCCCCCCGGACCAGCAATTTCATTTACCGAAAATACTTTACACAATCTAATAAATAGTAGATGTTAGATCCTCTCACATACTCGCTACACTAACATTGGATCTAACATCTACTTTAAATTAGATTGTGCACACCGCGAAGAAATTTTAGATTTTCCAAACAAATACGTAGATCTATGTAATAATGTTTTTTCAGAAACAAAAAAATCATATTCTATAGTGAATTACAATCAGCTCGAAATTAGCAAGCCATAGTGAAAAAAAATATTACTATCTCAGCAAAAGTGATCCCCGGTATTTTTTTTATAAAGAAAATGTAAACTTCTTATATACATGAAATAATGGATATATCTTTTTGAAAGCAACAAAAAACAAATTTTAAATAAAAACAAAATGTTTCAATTTACATAGGTGGAGGACCGGCAGAGAAACCATTAAGTGCATTGTCACAAGCTGTTGAGGAGGTAATTGGTGAGGAAAATGTTTCTATCTGTGGAATATCTGGGGCCTTTGATTCCTCTTTGATGACGTTTAACAATTTCACCAGGGGCATGGAAGACATTCCATCGAGTTCACTGCAAGGGTAAGGCTTTCTTAAGTGTCAGTAACTTTATTACTGTTTTATACCCCCCGCTTGAAAAGCGGGAGGGTATATAGTACCAGTAATCGTTAATTCCGTCTGTCTGCACGTCTGTCCGTCCGTCTGTTACGCTTTGGGGTACCCCATCTCTTATCCGCAACTCCTCTCATACCACTGAATGAAATTTAATGAAACTTTCACAGAGTTAATCTCTATAACATATTGCCATTGTGCACCTCCTATTTTACTTTTTGATCCGACACATATTTTGAGTTTCACATCCACAGCAAAACATGGACTTTGCTAATATAACTACTAGTAGTTATGGAAGCGGGGGCTCATCGCTCACAGTGCCTCTAGTTTTTTTCGAAATCTCGATATTGACTTTTCTGGCTATTGTTTTTTAAATAGTATATCGATAATTTGATGCTCATAAATGACGAGTATGGTTCTTTAAAAATTATTTTTAAACAGAAGAGTGGTGGAGGATTTTCAGCTCGACCCACAGCCCTCAACGTGCACGAGTCAGCCCATTATCCAAGAAGACGTGTCACTGGGTATCTCGGCCTTCCCGATGCCACCAAATTCTCCAAAAGAAACTACAGCTACATGTAACCTAGCTAGAGAGAAACTTCAACTCGAAGTTGAGAACCTCCGTCTGAGGAATGCCCTTCTGAAGCAACAATTGAAAGACTTCAATAAAAAACACTTGTAAAACTTTTTATTAATGTTTATACTGAAAATAAATTATATTCGATAAAGGTAAAATAATAAATGTCTTCTCTCTAGAAATGATTTATTGTAATGTGATTTCTGTATGCTCTGCCATCCAGATTGTCGGGGACACAGTTGTTATTGTCAGCATCATCGTCATCACTGCCCTCATCAGAATCATAGTCACTTTCTCCATCCTCGTCAATGATTGGTGTGTTGAGCAATTTTGCTAAATTATGAAGTACTGCGCAGGCCATAATAATCTTGCAAGCCCTCTCTGGACACAACCTTATCTCAGAATGTAATACATGAAAACGTCTTTTCCATTGTCCTATGGTTTTTCTCAACAATGCACCTCGTCACCTTGTGTGATCTATGAATGAAAAATAAATAAATACAGGCACGTAACATGGTTTGTCAAGGGGGGGGGGGGAGGCAACCTGAGAATTTTTTTTTACTTAAAAAAGTTGACAGGCAAAGAAAAAAAAAACATCGAAAAAAACACATCGAAAATCTTATATATATCTAATGTTTTCCTATATTTCAAAATTTTCCTTGCTATGAATATACTGTGTTAGAAAACGGGGGGGGGGGGCATCTTTTCAATTGACATTTTCTATAGTAAAGGTAATGTTGGGAAAAAAGTGCCCCTCCCCCCCCCCTGTTACATGTATTAGGTGCCTGAAATAATTGATTAATGAAGATGTATGCAATAATTAGGGGGAGGGTAGGTTCTAACTTGAAAAAGTATATTATTTCTGGTTGTTTTCTTTTTATCGAATGGTGATAATGCGGAAACTAACTGTAAATCAACCTGGAAATATGTTGATGCAGAAAATCATGAGAAAAAAGTTCGCAGTATAACTTTATTATTAAATAAGACATACTCAGTATTTACCCATTGTATCTTCTTTCCTGTTGGGTTGCTGGGTTAAGGAAGGGAGTCAGGATCCAGTATTTGCACGGATAGCCACTATCACCGAGTAGGTGACATTTTACAGGAATTAGTCCGGGTGTTTGGAATAATTGGCTAATGCCACTTTCTCGCAAAATTCTTGCGTCATGTGTTGACCCTGGCCACTTGGCGACTATGTCCAGTATATGATAATGTGCGCCCACGACAAGTTGCACATTTATACTGTGGAAGTTTTTTCTATTAACAAATTCTTCTTCATTAACTGTAGGACGCAATATCCTAACATGGGTCCCGTCGATAGCGCCGAGCACTCCCGGGAAATTGGCGATTGCGTGAAAATCTGTCTTGTGCCGGTGAATTGTCTGAGCGTCGGTAGGAAATTTTATGTATCTTTGAATGATATGTGGTCGAGTTAAGGCTGTAGAGACCTTTTGAACAATCCTAGACACAGTGGATTGGTGAATTCCGAAGTCATCCCCGTTACATAACTGCATTTTTCCTGTTGCGAAATAGCGAAGAGCTATCATGACTTGTAGATTAGTTGGTATGCTACAATTTCGACTTGTTGCTGGTGAAACGAAATCGTCAATCAGCGTCCCGATATGTTCAATTCCTTGTCTATCAAAACGGTAGCGTGTGATAAGTCCCACAGCATTGTATTCCGTAAAGGGATCTAATCTCGGCTTAAAAACACGGCGTTGTCTTTGCTGTCTTGCAGCCATTTTGCTGTGGTAAGCAAAATGCTTAAAAACTTTAGACAAGGTGAGGGGTTGTTTAACTTTAAGCATATTCTAAGACGTATAAGTAAGAATAAGAAACGTCATGCAATCCACTTACAACGTAAAGTGACGTACTAAGTAAAAAACGTCACTCTGCTTAACCCTCTTACTGCCAGAACTGTGTCTAATTTGTGCAGTTGATACGCCAGAACTTTTGCTTACATATACAAGTATCAGAATGCATTGAATATTCTTTTAATGATAAGCAACATCCTATAGATAATTTTTGATTGTAATGAGTTTACAAATAGCCTAACGAACACAGGGACATTTCAATTCTGATTTAATTAATGACGTCAGCTTCTTTGCTCGTATTACGTCACAGTAAAAAAAAAATCCGCGTAATCTTGCAAAGATTCATAATGTAAAAGAATGAAAAATATAAACGTTTTTAACAATAAACAGATTGTTTTTTGTTATGTTTTAGGCTATTTTAATTACTACTTATAAATATTCGGAGAAGAGAATGAGTACTATTATTAAAAAGTATTTTAATTATAAATTCAACACTATTTTATAGAATTTTGCTAAGAAAACGTTCTGCAAATACGCCTCCGTCTTCGCTTAAGGAAAAGAGGTTTTTAGACAAAATAAATGTAACTTCAAAATTAGCAATTTTTTTTTTGCGATTTCAAGTGCAGAAAATCAAGAAAATGTCATACATGTATGAGACAAGTAATTTCAAAACTAGAATGTTCCAAGGAGCACATGTGTTGCCTGCTTTTAGCTTCATTAAGGATGTAAGTTAGTGTAAGAGTGGTCAGCTTTTTTTAAATTGCTCTTGTATGTATAGTTCATGCCAAAAAAAAAAGATCTACGGGTAACCGGTTGTAATATTGGGGGATAAGTGAAGCAGAGAAAACAAGATGTGTTTGTGAAACACTATGCGCCCGGTGGCAACGAAGTTCGAAAAAACAATTTTTAGCAAACAGGTCACAGTCAAGGTCAAGATGTGTTTGTGAAACGCTATGCGCTCGGCGGCAACAAAGTTCGAAAAAACAATTTTTAGCAAACAGGTCACAGTCAAGGTCACACGATCATTGTCCTTGGTGTTTGTTCAAAGAGTTTCATTAGTGTAGTATGCATACCAAATATGAAGTTTCTATCTCTCACGGTTCAAAAGTTATGGCAAAGGTTTTTAGTTGACAATAGACAGACAAACAGATAAACATACAAACAGACAGACAAAACAAAAACAAAAACAGAATAAATTCGCGCGCATTAAAATTTCAAAAACCCCGACAAGCATAAAAAAAGAAGAAGAAGGAAAACGTCTCCATTGCCCAAACATGAAAGTCCTATTTCGGCGGGGTGGGGTGTAGGATCGAACTCCTTACAGTACCATTATTTTATAAAAACTTTTTTGACCTAAAGTAGAACGTAAATGTTAAAAGAGGGGGATGGGCGCTAACTTACGCCACCCCTACCCCCTCCCCCCCCCCCCCTCTCGGTTCCGACACCTATGTTATAAATAATAATTTATCAATTAATTAATACATTTTCGTAATTTAAAGAATCCAAGAGAATTTATTTCGCAAAGTAGGTAAAAGTTCAAATGCCCTGTAATGCTGAACAAGTAGCATAGACTTACCTTTTAAATGTCAAAAATACATTGTACATCGGCACTGTCAACAATTTCAGAAATTAAGTCAAAAGTCAAGTGCAAAGAATTATGTATGTGCAAAATATAAAATCTATATATAGTTCTCGAGATACTAGTATAAGGTGTGACAGACGGACAAACAGACAGATGCTGGGTAAAGTGATCCCTAAATGCAATTCTGCTCTACAGGCGACACAAAAAGTATTAAAAAAAGAAGCAGATTTAGTCGAAAAGCGGGGGAAGGGGGCTAATGCAAACGACACACACACACGCTTGTTACATATACTTGTAAGGTGGGAGGGGGGTAAATAATGTAATCACGTAATAACATTTACAAAATCAAAGTTTTCTTTTGGTTCAAAGTACTTTAATACATCAGTAACATTTTTGTAGTACATATAAATTAACCTTAATATAACTTAAAGAAGTTCTAAACGCCAAAGAATTTTTATTTTGGGAACATTCTGTTTATTTGGGAAATTGTTCGAGATGCATTATAAAAGTATTAGTAAACCTATGGAATTATTTTTTATTTATTTATTTTTTTTATTTATTTATTTATTTTTTTTTTTTTTTTGTAAATTTAATGTGTCCCCCCATTCCCTTCTTAAATGTACAGAATCAGTCAGAATGGGTGTCTTGAATACTTAGAGTACGGGTTTGCCAGTATAATCGACTGTGCAGAGGCATCGTCCCCTGGTACCCTCTGTATCCAAGTTACCTTTTCTTTACATTAATTGTATGCTACCTTCAAGATCACAGATTTACATTTGTACATGATAGTACCATTTGTTTATATATATACATATATTTGTGTGTAAATTATTATTTTTGTATGCATGGATATGTGTAACAATAAGTGTATGTTTATAATATATACTTTACATACATATATTTATTTATATATTATTATTTTTGTATGCATGGATTTGTGTAACAGTAAGTGTGTGTTTGTGTATGTGGGTATGCATATGTCAAATATCTATTGAACTAACTCCAAGAGATTAGTTTGCATTAAGTTTCTAATTATATGCTAAGTACCTATTAATTGAAATAACTATTTCTGTTAATACTTAAATTATTTTTTTTTTTGGAATGACCATCTTCAATACTTAGGGTACAGGTTTGCCAGACTGGCTGTGTAGAGGTATCATCCCCTGGTGCCCTTTGTATTCAAGATGCACTAGTTTTATATTAGAGTACTGCCATTACTACAAGATTTTTTTTTTTAATTTACCTTATATCTATCATTTTTTTTAAATTGTGTTTTCTTTTATCATTCTATGGTTTCTATGCTTTTGATCCAGTGTCGTGATGCACTTCTCAATGTCAAACTTAATCACTAGTCATGTTACATTATCCTTAATATAGAATTGTAATCAATGTTATCATTTTGTAATAATTGTTCATGCCCCCAGTGGGCCCTTGATTGGTGAATAAACATATATATATATAGAGTTCTTTGTTATGGATGTAGGAACCGGAAGGAGAGGCTTGAGGGACTGTAACCTCCCCTCAAATTTGTCGATATGTATTAAACCGTGTAAAACAGTAAGCATATGCTCACTTTATGCTTGGGCTCAGTGATAACATAAATAATGGACCAAATTTTAGAAATCTACATGATTGTCAAATTTTGCTAATACAATTTTTCTGTTAAAAATTGCTAGCAGATTTTAAAGGTATTCTTTAAAACGAAATCCCAAGGCATTTCTGAGAAATACTATACAAATTTCGGGAACATATGGAATTAAAGAAACACGCAGCTTACGCGTATTTACGTGTGTGAACAAGTATAACTTGGATAGCGGAAAATTTTAACCTTTATAGTTTAATTTACTTGCATGGAGTGTTAAAAAATCTAAAAAGACAGGTCGGCTGTAGATGTTTATTTCATTGGTATA